TCCTGAGATTGGGGTCTCTCAAGTTCAACGTTCAAACTAAATTACCCAAATTACTTACAAGGCACAGTTTAACCAACTAATACGTATCACAGTAGGTAACATTCAGACCAATTACATCGGATCCAAAGTAACTGGGTCTAACGATGTACGAGTTCCATAATGCGATTAAAGGTTTTGGCAAACGAAAAGTGTCTGCTCCCTTTAAGCCAATCAGAATAATGCCCGCGTCGCACCGCTTGTACCGATGGCCAATCACAGCATGACATTGTAGTTCCACCAGGGTTCAACTTCATCACACTCTCTAGTCATAGGCAAAATGTCTGATTGCTATTTTGCATCCGGTTGGTATTGTGCTCCGAATTCCAATGCTCCCATAATACCTCATTTTACAGCTTCTCGAAATCCTCATCACCCACATGTTTCATTTTCGAACCCATTCTTCTACTGTTCTATGGTAAATGCGTACTCTACTCCGCCACTTCCAACTCCTCAAAATCAATTTCTGAACAGAAGTGGAACTTGTTCGTGTTCTTGTATTATCGATACCTACCACATGCCCGACTCATATCAGCACGAACAAACAGGCAAGCATACTTTCCGCAATAATTGTGAGGACAATAAAAATTGGCAGGATTTGTCATCTCTGTTTTAATTAGAGCTTTTATACAAAATTAGCTGATGCCATTTATAGGAGGGTATTGACATTTAATGAATTTTCTAGGACTTTAGTCCTTCAATGCTGAATCAAAGTGGATGGATTTCTTCTTTTATATGCATTTCCCTTTGATTCATATTTTGATGTAAAATCAAACGTACAACTCTAGCTGAATTCTGTTTATTAAAGTGATGCATGAGGTGGCCTTGTCTCCACTTATAAGCTGTAATTTTAACTGCTTTCACGCATGCTACACGTAAGAAGTATCTTCGGTTTATTTCTCCTCTTTTGTGCACTTCATTTGACAAATCATTGTCCAGACTAAGTACAATGGTCCAAAATTGTTCATCTTAAAATTTATCATTTAGATACTTTGAAATCGATACGCTGCTTTAAATGCAGCGCCAAATTATGACAAATGAACTACTTTTAATGATTTGCAGTAATTGCAAAGCCAAAAAGTGTCATTTTTGACAAGGTTAGATCACGCAAGGCCTATTTTTTACGTGTTGTCGACTTGTCATGCCCCATATCGGTCTGTTGAGATCGACGAAAGAGTTCAACTTCGATGCAAATAGATGGCGACATTGATCGTGAAATCCAATAATTCTTATGCTTAAATTACAAGAACTGAGAAATGTTAGTTCTTTATGAACAGAGTTTGCACCTCAAAAGGGTTGAGAGCAGAATGAAGACCTTTTGGAATTTAGAACAGAGGGTGGGCACAATCTTGTAATAACGTATAGGAGATCATAAAAACGGTTGACAAAAGGGTGATCTAATGACTTTAAACATGTAATGTGTATCCCAACTATTCCCAGGACCTGTAGAATGGCCAGTAAGACTCGACGTCAAAGATGAAGACGCCGATTTTGGGATAGGGATTTTTAGTAGAGGGGATGGCAGTGTGAACAAGGTTGGTGATTCTGCGGCAACACATCAAAGAACAAGTCGGCATCGGCAACAGCTAGAACAGGCGACTCAGCATCAGGACCACCAGCAGCCTAAAAAACAGCGCACTGCGTTCACCAGACAACAGCTGGAGACACTAGAGGGGGAGTTTCGTGCACATGCCTACCTTACCCGTCTACGTCGCTACGAAGTGGCTGTTGCTCTCGGACTATCTGAACGCCAGGTAATTAGAACTTTTGTTCCAAAGGAAGAGAAGGAGGTTTTCTTACTGTGAGTCGCGGCTATCGGCTCACGATGGGCTACTGTCTCAACGATTACCAAAGCTTTTTAATTCTA